TTGATAGAATAAAGAACAATGTTCATTTTACTCAAAAATAACCTATAAAGAGTAAAATCAGAGACACTCATCATTTTAAGTGGTCTAAATTTTTTCCATATATATGTATATATATTGTACAATTTGGCTTAATTACTGACAGTTTTCCATCACAAATGGTTAGTTTTGAGTCTGTTAACTCCAGTTAATGATTAATCATTTACTAAATTAGTTCACAGTTATTTCAATAATCGATTAATTCTTGCACAAACTCTCTACACTTTAAGGATTTACAGCCCGGTGACAAAGTACAGACACACAGACCTTATTACCTCTTAGCCTCCAGAAATGGAAAAGAAAAATCACTTAATTACAATAAAAACTGTCAAATGCAACCAAAATGGGTAAAAAAAACAAAAACAACTGTGATTCATTGTGTTGATTCCTAGACCGGATAAAAGCAGATGGCTTTCATCACAAATGATGATTTGCTGTAGCAACGTCTCAATGGAAAAGAAAAAAGAGAAGAAAAAGATCTAATAATAATCTACCTCTTGGTTGCCATGGAGACCAAGTCATCACACTGTTTTTCCAGACAAACTCAGACACTTGAGTTCAGACTTACCTTTCGTCATGTTTTTGAATTGAGGGAGGAACCCGGAGTACCCGGTGAGAACCTCACCGACGCGTTGGGAGAATCTGCAAACTCCACACAGAAACGAATGAATTCGAACCAGAGCAGCCTTTGTTTTGTTTCGTCTTGTTGTTGTAAATGTCACTCGTTCTAATTAATCCAGGGTGAAAAGGAGAAAAAAAAAAAATGGCACACGCCAACTCAATCCACTAAAGAGGCACATCTGTCTGGGGAGAAAATTGGCATTAACCCTGTAAGGTGGGGTGACCCCCTTTTTCACAGTGTGTGGCTCAGATTGATTTTGTTTTGTTCATACAGCAAACAGCGAGTTTACATTTACCTCATGTGACTTTTGAAGTCGACTTTTAACACATTATGAAATACAAGCAGCTTCCTCTGTACATGTGAACATCATGGAGGACGGCACACTCCAAAGCAAACACTAATGTCACCAGGCTGCATGTCCCTGATTCTAATCCCCAAATTGATGGATATTAGAGAATATGGAAGTGATTATAAAGTGATTAGAGTGATGGCTGAACACTTAGAGAAAAATACGCTTTCAGGTCTGTGTGAGATTTCTGGTCACACCGGTGGCAGCCGCCGTATTAATGATGCAAGCCGCTTACTGGAGGGCCTACAAAGGTGATGAAATTTGGCCGATAGCAGCGATTTTAATTCACCTCATTGAAGGTTTTTGTGTAATAACTTTTTATTTCTCTCCTCTTGGTAATCATTAGTTTATTTAATCTCTAAGATGATTTTTTTTTTGTCATAGACATTTGAAAAGTTGACTTGTAAATTCTGGTTTTTGCCCAATCTGTCATCTAAGATCCTCTTGAAAGTTTTCACAACGTCTGGAGTTTCATCACAGTAAATTTTATTCAAAACTGAATTTCTAAACACCATCATGTGTTAAAATATGCAGCGGTGTCAAACTCATTTCAATTTGGGCCATATCAAAAATCAAAAATCTGAATGTTCTTAAAGAGCCACAATGTTTTGATAAAACCCATTTAACTGCTAAAATATTAACAAACAGGATTTTATGATTGTTTTGTGGCTTTTCTTTAAAAAGAAAAAAGAAAAAAGCTGGGTGGCCAGGGAGTGCTGAATTCAAATGAATTAAAAGTTGAGTGGAAGGAAAAACTGTAAAAAAAAAAAAAAAAAAAAAAAAAGCA